AAATAGTGGCAACACCCGGCTCATACAAGCACCCTTTCCCTATTCAACTATGCAATCCCCTTGTTGTTGTATCCCTTGTTCTGTTGTGCCATTATAAGAGAAAATTCAGCAATTCTTTTTAAAATTTATCTCGAGGAAATTCAGAAAATTGTCGTGGACGTCACCTAAACCATGAGGTGAGGCAATGTAAAAAGAATAAACAAACATGACCATATATGTGGTTTAAAAGTTAGAAATCTCAACATGATTGTTAGAGGAACAAAAATATCCTCTCCATTATACCTTGTTCTAGCAGATTTTTTTCCCCACACCTAATTGGGACATGGTAGTTTAGTCCAAAAGCAAAGCGTAGCTGCATGCCCACCCAATCAAATCTAGCCACATGTACCATATTTTGAAGTGCATAGATGGCATAGACTGTTTATGGTACAACCATATATATTAATGGCAATGCATATAATATAGTTGCAAGCATAGGGGCTCAATAAATAGTTAAATGATCAATGCAATTGCGCCACTTTCCACTAACCGACCTATGCTGCATGCGTGTTGACAAATATTTCATTTTCCATTCTCAACCTATTTTACATACTCATACTTTCTTGCCCTAATCCATAAGCTTCCTACTCAACGGAAAGGCACCTTTCTACTCCACACGAAACAAACCCTTCTATTTTTTTTTTTTTATTTAAAAACACCTCTCTCACTCACTATATATCTCACATGCTTTCCCTTCAAAACAGCAAGATTCATATTCTTCCACTCAAACTCCCTCTCTCTTCTCTTGCTTTCTCTCTCTCTCACACATTCAAAACTCCATGCGCTTATCTCTATAGTTATCTAAGTCTAACAACTTGGCTTTTATTACCACCTGATTTGTCACTTCTTAGAATAAAATGGGAAATTGTCTTGATCTTTGTAAACCCAGTTCAGGGTCTTGCATGGCAAAAAAAGTTAAAGTCGTGAGAGTAGCCAAGCCAGATGGTAAGATATTAGAGTTTAGCATACCAATCCATGTCAAAGATATCTTGACAAATTATCCAGATTATTGTGTTGGTGTTTCAAAGGAAGTCACAGAATCTCTCTCACCAGATCATGAACTGAAGGCAGGAAGATTGTACTACTTGCTTCCCTCCTTGCATACCCCTCCAAATCTTAAATCTCTAAAGACAGGTGGGGGGGTAAAGAGGATCAAAGTTGTGATAACTAAGCAGCAGCTTGAGCAGTTAGTGACCAAACAGATCTCAGTGGAGGATATACTATCAGAGGCTCAAACGGTCGGTGTCAACTTTCCAAGCAATCGGAAGCCAAAATTGGACTCTATACCCGAAGAAAATGAGTAGCATATAAGATACTGGTTTCTCTTTCTCAATTTTCTGGCTGTGTAACCTTTCCCTTTGTTATTGTTCCTTCTTTCTTTTGTTGTTATAGGACTCTTGGCCGTTGTGGTAATGCTTTACCTTTTTTAAGGAAGTTTGATTGTAAGGACTGAAAGATATGGAACATGTAAAGACAGACATAGAACTTAGTATAGATAAGGGTAGTTTCCAAATTTTGCATTACCTTGGCATTGATAGTTTCTTATTAACTTGTGTCTCACAGATTAGTTAGTTGTGTAGTTCTGACTTTCTTTACAACTAGGAATAAAAAATTTCAAACTTTCTATGGCTGCATTAGTCCACAATTAACCGTAATGTAATTAAGATGTATAGATATTAAGGATTAATTTTCCACATCTCCTTGGGGCTTATGATCAATTTGATGTTCCAAAGACAAAAATGAACAAAGCAAAACACAAATAAAAGAGGAAGAAACTGATATCACGAGAAAATTATACAACAGCAAATTATTTCAGCTTTTCTACACTTCATACAACATATTAAACCCCTATAATGGGTATATATACGTTAAAACATGGTAAAATACAGTGTTGCAAAACACAGCCTAAGCCTCACTTAATTTCCACATCAATAACCTTGCGTTCAACCTTGGTCTTGGGAATGGTGATATAAAGCACCCCATTTTTCAACTCTGCCTTAACCTTGTCCTTCTCGCAGTTATCCGGAAGCATCAAACGTGTATCATATGAACTATAGCTCCTGCTGGACCAAGAATCATCTCCACCACCTTGTTCTTGTTCACTCTTGTGGCCACCTCGTATAACAAGTACATCATCCTCCACCGAAACCTTAACATGTTCCTTGGAAAGACCCGGCATGTCAAACCTCATTCTTATTTCATGTTCTTCATCTTTGATATCCCAAGGGGCACGGATCTCACCTCCTCCTCCAACGTTTCTTCCAGGGAATGTAATTGTATCTTCGAAAATTCGGTCCATCGTGTCCAATATCTGGCGCATGCTCCTCATGGGTGACCACGGGTCCAATAGACCTGCAATAGGCCACACCACACTACATGTCAGTGTACATGTTTAACTGTGTTGGAAGCAAGTTCAGGTAAACGTAGCTACCATCACTTTTCATTATTCAAAGGCAGGTATAACGTATTATATTTTTACAATGAATCACTTCAATTCTAAACATTCAAACTTTTTATTTATTTATATGAATTTGCTTAGTTTTGGGGTATCTGTAGAAATTGACATATCTATAATTTTTTTTAACTCTTTGTTTCTCCCGGTTATTTATATATCTTTGTTATGCTTGTCATTGTTTCTGGCTTCAGGTTCAAACCTTGGGTTTGGTTACTTTTGAAGCTTTGTTACTGGTCATTTTCATTCTGTTTTGATCGAAAGTATACAACAGAATCGAGCCAAAACTTTCGGTCTTAAAGGATCATTATCATACCAATATCTGTAGCCAAGTTTTTTTTTTTTTTTTTTACATTAATCTTTTTTATTTTGGTACAGTAAGTAATCTAGTATCAATAATCAAGTATCAGCCAATTTAATTTATATTTTGTTTTATTTATTTATTCATTTTTAACTTTAGCATGCAAACTTGATTGCAAAGCTATCCTATTAAAAGAATATGAAAAATTAGTGGAAATAGTGGAATAGATGACAATAGCAACCACTACAACATATGTGAAGCATCATCACCCACGACACAATCCCAATCAGCAAAGAAAATATTACATTTGTCAACCAAACCAATCAGAAATCTTTAATAATAATTACTTTTAGTTTTAAGAAAACTATTATGAAAATCAACAAAATTAAAAGAGGAATGGAAGACTAATACAAAAGGATGCATTGATGAACAAAGCAATGTTAATGATGCATAAGAATCGCAAACTTACCAAATGGTGAAATGTCCAATGCAGCTCTACGTGGCTTCCTCTCAACCGCGGTTCCTTGGTCTCCCTTCTTAACATGTTGCACTTCCACAGAGTTGTCTTTGTTATCAGCAGAAGCCTGAGCTCTCACCCTTGGAAACTCCTTCCTTGAAGGAAAAGAGGCCATGCAGGGTGCAATAGCATTGTTCCTCTGTTTAACAGAGTACCCTGTTTTTTGTGGTAGAAGAGGTGACGAGGTTGATAGTGCTTGAGCCATTATGAAAAAAGGAAACGAAAAGAAAAAGGGTTCGAAGTTTGAACAAGATTACAACAATCGATTCCAGCTATTGATGAGGGTGATATTTGAGAATTGTTGTATATATAGACAGTGGATGTGAAATGTGGAGAAGGGTCTTGAGAGTTTGAGAGCAAGTGTGAAAGTTCTGGACACAACACTAAGACAACCTCGCTATTTTTGTTTTTATTTCACTATAACTCTATAAGTTTCGGGAATGGTCTCAACTTATCTAATTTTAATTAATTCTATTTTTTTTTTAACCTTTAACTAGGTATTTTTTACGGAGAAAAATTTGCATTTAATTTTTACGGAGAAAAATTCAATATTTCTTTTGCTGTACATATTCTTTCTCCTTGAAACAGGGACATCGATTTTTATATACTTATTTTTGTATTGGTTTGAAATTTTTTTAATTCAAAATAAGGAAAATACTTAATAAAAAAAAATTATAAGAGAAGCAACATATCTTATTATAAGAGATCAAAACATTTACGAGATAATCATATTTTGTCCTCCTATTTGCTCATTTTTGTTTTGTTTCTTTCAATTATTATTTCTTTTGTCTAAAAAAAGACAAGATAAAAAAATTGATAATAAAAAAAAAATTAAAGGGAATCAGACCAGCACACAAGAGGATAAAAGAAGCTTAGCTCACTGGATCCTCATACTCACCATCTTCTTTTATCCATTTTTTTCCTATCCTATTTCCTTTTCCTTTTTCTTCTACAAATTCAGATTCAAATACCAAAAACATGTGAAAAGTACTCAAATTCAACGTCTCATATGGGTATAGAGTTGCAACCAAAAATATCACTATACTCCTAATATAGACTAATCTAAAAAGAGGGAGTTATATCTTCTAGTTATATAAAAAATATTCAACCTCATTTTTGTCAAGTTTCAGATTTTTTTTTATCTATGAATAAAATTTACATAATATCTTAAAGTTAATAATTAAATATTAATTTATGTTCGTTGAGTGTGTGATCCGCTAGGTTACGGATTTGAGTTCTTACAAATTTGACTTTTCTGACTTGGATTAGGATTTAGGAATCTTAAAATTTTTCATACCAAAAATAATAAATCAAATGTGTGTGTGTGTTTTTGTTTTGGACAGCCTGAAGAGGCTTGGCCCAAGTGTGGCCTTATTTTTGTTCTTTTCTGTTCAATGGGCAGAATTCCTAGTGGCCCACTTCGGTATGTTCCTTATTTTAGGTCCAAAAGCTTGCTCGGCCAATGGTTATTGGGCTCAGATTCATTTTTCTGTTTTTATTTTGCCAAATGATATATACACCTCCTCTTTTTAATAAATATGTCTAATTTCTTTATTTTTTAAAATTTTCTAAACACTCTTTTAATATATTTTTAAAATTATCTTCTACATTTATTTTTATTTATTTATTCATTTTCATTTACTAATATATATCATAACCTCTCTCACTGCTTATTGTTGGTTCATCTACTTTTTTTTTTCTTAAATATATTTTTAATCTTTCAAATTTAAGATAAATTTATTTTTGATTTTTCAAATTTAAAATTGTTGTTTTTAGCCTCTGTAATTTTTAAAAATTCTGTTTTAGTCTCTTAGGTTACTAATAATATATCTAAAAGTGACAAATTAAGACGATTATACAATATCAAGTAGATTTAATATGATGTTTTCACTAGCAAAGATACCAATAAGTAGATTTTATACAATAATGTTTGATAAATTTTTTAACAAAATTTGATTATAAGGCCTAAAATAAAATTTTTATGAAATTATAGAGACTAAAAATAACAATTTTAAATTTGAGAGAGTAAAAATAAATTTATCCTAAATTTGAGAGATTAAAAACATATTTAAATCTCTTTTTTCTTAACATTTTACCTTTAGTAATCAAGATATTTAGTATTTGTCTTTATTATTTTTAATTTTTTTTCACTCTTAACGTCATCTTTTAAATGTAAATTTTATTTTATCCCATCCTTAACATTACATACATTGGTTATAAGATTTTATATTTTTTTTAAGTTATCATTTGAAAAGGTATGACTCCTAAATTTTGTAGTTCTAAAAATATATTTTGAGAAAATATTTTCTAAAAGAGTAAATATATTGTTTTAAAAAGTACCTTTCAAAAATATATTTTTACGCTTTTAAAAAGTACTTTAAAAAAAAAAAAATTTCGGAACTAGGATATGGAATTAGGAATTACCACTTCAAACCTATTGGTTGCCACTTGCCAGAGACAAAAAGTTTAAATATGAAAGGGCATGGCCAAATTCCTCGTTCCTCTGATGGGTGCGAGTTAAGGGCTTTGCTTGGAATCAGTCATGAAGCTGGATTTACTTGATTGTTGCGATGCCAATTCCTTGTTTGGCAATTTGGTAATTCAGATCAACTGCAAAGTGTTTGTTCCGCGTGTGAAGGGCAAAAGACTCGTTTACTTGCTGTGTTCACCCTTATTCACGCTCAACTAATGAAATGTTTGACATGGACATTTTGCATCACTTGTTCCATCTATTGACCTATTCAACTTGGAAATTAAGGGCAATAAAAACACAACTCTTTTGGTTACACTATACTACTTTAGTCCAAAATGTAACATCTAACTTCATGACAAACAATATATACACGCATATTGCTTTGCTTTTACTGCAAAGTTAACAACAACAATATTTGGTTTGATTTATACTTTTGTGTGCCTATACTTTTCCTATTCCTTGTGCTGTAGATTGGGATGAGTCTGTATATTTGGTCCAATTCAATGAAAGAGACATTGCTCTTTTAAGCTGTAGAATTTAAGTTAATATGCATTTGTTACTTAGAATTGGTCTGCATGATGCATCCAACATTGGACACTAGCTATAGAAGGGTCATGTCATGAGGGCAAGAAATATATGTATAGTGCTAGTCAGAGAGACGTGATGATCACGTTTCCAAAACATGTCGAATTAATCATCGATCTTTCATCTCTATAAATACCACTTATTTATGTGATACACTTCCATCTTCAACTAGCAATTAATCAGTTACATTTTGCATTGTTAGAAATGTCCCTCAAACCAATGTCAATACTTTTAGCAATACTTCTACTGCTCATGTCTTCTAAGCTCGGAAGTGCTACCCAACCTGCAGGTATGATAGTTTTACAATATAAGTGAATTTAATTAAACTATTATTTAATTATGGATTAATGGTCCTTCATATATATTAAGACTATGGTTTTATATCCCTACTCTTTTATCTTATACTGGGCAGGGCGAAAACTTCTCCAAGCTACTTATAGCCTATCGCCACCATATATTCCTCCAGCTACTTATGGCCTACCATCGCCACCATATATTCCTCCACTTACTTATGGTCCAGTTACTCCAGTACCTCGTGGTGGATATGGAGAACGAAATACCACAACACCATGAGTGATGAAATCATAATATAACGATCCACGAAGACCCAATTCAGCCACTCACATCACACCTATGATTATTTCATAGGAATAGGAGAGTGCTAAAAATATATATATAATTTACATATATTTGTGTGTGTCAGTGTTAGAATAATATATAAGTCATGTACCACGAACCATGGTTACTACTACAATAAGTCACACTTGTATTGCAGCTAATTAAATTTTCATTATCGCGTTAATTACCTCTAAAATTATTCAGTAAAACATTATATGTTTGTCGCTATAGTTTCACTTCTTTTTTATCCATCGAAATCAATTGAAATACCAGAGTTTACTATTCACGTTTCAGCTAATTGAATTAGATTACTTATAAAAATTAAAGTGGTTCCGATCATAATTTCTAAGTTAAAGAAAAATCTTAGTCTAATTGAAAAACACACGTCTTAAACTACTTTAAGGGAGTAACGGATCCACTTTTTTGGTTATGACAATGACAAAACGCAAGCAAAACACGCTGACTGCATTGTTTTTTCTTTTATTATAAAGAAGAAAGTCCTGATGGCGCCCATATGGCTATGATATTTATTAGATTTTATTTTTAATTATTGATAATTTATTATAAAATTATTAAAATATAATTCACAGGTAAATATGATAATTGAAAATTGAATTTAATAAAATAAAAAAATCTTAAAATTTTTCTAGTCAAAATTATTTTAAAGTTTGATTCATAGATAAATAAAGTAAATTCAATAAGAAATTAAAAGAATTCATCAAAATATTTTTATTAAAGAAAAATTCCTAACACGTTCTCACATAATAAAGAAATTTGTATTCAATACATAGGGTGAATTTTTAAAAATTATTTAGTTACTTATTAAATTTTTTAGTTTATTTACTAATCATGGTTTAATTCTTAGTTTTTTTTTAATTTTAAAATAAGACTTCTTATAAGTAATTGAATAATAATACATCTAAATACTTTAAAATTGTACAAACGCTCATTAACACACGTGTGTGTATATATATATATATATGTATATATATATATATACACACTTATACTCATTCGTTATATATATATATATATATATATATATATATATATTAGAGAGATTCATTTAGTAAGTCTATCTAGACTTACTTTATTTAATAATTCATATTCTACATCAAATTTTAACGATCCAGTTGTTGAATTTAAAGTTTTTAATGAATCAATAATCATGGATTCAGTGTCTATGTACAAAGAGATTAATTATCTCTTGATGTCTTCTTATGATAATAAAACGAGAAAAAAGAATATAAAAAGGTGGTTATTTTATTCAAAATAGGAGGAGCCTTTTTAAAGGTAACAATTACATAATTCATCATAAAGAGAAATAATTAAAAAATTATAACCATCATTGCAGTAAAACAATACTTATTAGCCAATTAAAACAGAGTTACAAAACATAAAATATCAACAGACCCTCCCTTAAACTAATGTTTGCTAACATTCAGTTTAAAGGCTTCACATAATTTAGTGTGCAGACTCCAAGAAACCTTCTATGCTTCATGAATGACTCTTTCTTGAGTGCTTTGGTGAAAAATATCAATAACTTGATCTTCACTCTAACAATAAATCAATTTAATGGCTCCATCATTGCTTAGATCTCTTAGAAAATAAATCTTGACATTAATGTATTTGCTTCTTCCATATAGTACTGGATTCTTTGAAAGTTTGATTGTTGAATTATTGTCACAAAAT